AAAGTTTAATGCCAATAAGAAAGATGAAATAAAGATTAATGTATATTGTAAGATGCCAGATTGTAAAGTAATGAGGCTTTTTGTGACGCCTAGTAATGGTGGTGTAAAAGTCATTGTATGGAGTTCTAGTCGAAATTTCAGTCACTCTCCGAAGGATCGCATAACTTGTCAGCATAGAGGACACGAAAGGAAAGTTATAGGAGATAAATTAAAAAATACAACTGCATTTAAATATCAAGATGAATGTATTTTGTCTGCATCGCCCACTAAAGTTTTACGAAGTGGAAACATGCAGTCTGTCAAAACATTAACGACACTACGTAAATTGAGTAGTGAACAACAATTAAAGGCAGATTATGATAAACATTATTCATTTGATGTGGTCCTTATGGTGCAGAAAGAAAAAATAAATGGTTAAATATCATTGTTAATCCTTATCCATTTAATGTTGACAAGACTTACAATACTTCTCCAGAAGACAGGATAAGGAACGAACTAATAAGAGGGAGTATAGGAGTAGTGCCAATCGTGGATAAGTTGAAAGAACATAAATTCAGATAGTTTGGTCATGTTATGAGGAGAGAGAAATTATAAGCTGTGAGAACAGTTATGAAAATTAATTTTGAAGGAAGAAGAGGTAGGAAGACAAAAAAAAAAGTGGAGGGATGTAATTAAATGCGATATGTGGACGGCTGATGTGTGCGTAGATGATGTGAGAGATTGAGTCAAGTTTAGGCCAAGGGTGGCCGACTCCAAGATGTTGGGATAAAGGCGAGGTAAAAGAAGAAGTCTATTAATCTTGTAAAGCACTAGTCTATGTTTAGTAATATAAAATTTTTATTATCTATAATAATAATTTCAAAAACATTATTGTTATAATAATAAAAAAATCAAAGATTATTAATTTTGTCACTATAGAGAGCTGCATTTATCTCAAATCTGTATTTGTAGTACATGTTATAAGAGGACGCCACACAGAACGTAAAACGTATTCAACGCCTCAGAGTTAATGTTGTTTTTCGTATCTGCGGCGACCACGCCCTCCGTTATTTTAAAATAATAGCTACGCATAATAGACGTTCGGAATCGGTGCATCATTCGTAGACAGACTGTCTTACGTCACCTACCGCTCAGTAACATTAATTTGCGTTTCATTAGTAACATAATGTCATGACTTATAGATATCATATATCTATACTGAATAATACTCTCGCGCTGCTAAAAACTATTACACTTTCTGTGATGCTGAATTTTCCTATGTTTTTTAAAACTTCAACGTGCTATATTCGATAAAAAAATATATACTATATTTAAACTAGTTATAATATTTAAAATATTTTTATAATAAAAAATCTTAGTCACACTTAAGAATACATTCTCTATTTAAAAAAGCATAGAATATTTAAATAACCTACACCTTGTTTGTTACCCATTTTTGGTAAAAATAAATCAAATTATGCTAAGGATAATAAAAATTTTATGGGATCTGTGTAATCTTATACATTTGTTAAAGCACTCTTCATTTGACTTTTTTTATTGGCATCTTGTATGTGTTCTGGCTGTCTTATATCCATTAGTTGTAAACGTTTTCCATATAAAGAACGAACAATTTCTGGCAAAAGACACTTCAAATAAAATCTAAAACGTCAATCGGTTATTTACGATACTCAATTTTTTAAAAATTATTTGGTTAATAAAATATTCACATTTTCAATTTTTCTTCCATTTTTGTTGTCCAAAATTGATTGTCATATTTGATTACTTAGATATTTATCCAAATAGGCGTGTATACTATAAACTTCACGATCTGTTATTCTCATTTAGACCATAATTTGAAAATAATGCTCTTTTTTTAGTTCGATACTATTATTTTTAATCATACTATATGGTAACTAAAAACGATTAACATGTTTAAAGTAAAATTAATAGTAAGTAAAAATAAAATATCTTACTAAATTTTGTTAAACAACTTCCACTGCATTTTCTGAATATCTAGCTACATATACTCAATTACACTTAATTTCAATTATAGCTATGTTTCCAACCAGTCCATCTGAACAAAATAATGAATTCTTAAGTTTTTGTTATAATAAATTTTTAAAAATTAAAAATAATACTACCAGAACTTGCTGTCAGAAAAGGGTACTCTTTATTAACAGGGACGGCGTCAAAGGGGGGCGAGGGTGGGCAGTCGCCCCCCAAAGAGAGATTCTCGACCTTTTCTCGCCCCCTCAATGCTGACAGAAATTTTGATTTGAGTGGGTGATTTATCGGTTATCGTTGTATAATATGGTCCGTGTATTGAAGAGAGTAAATAATCATATTTTATCGTTAAGTAATANATATAATAAAAATTGATCACTTGTGGCTAATTAATTAAGTAAAATTAAAACTATATTAAAAATATTATTAATTTAAAAAACTAAAAAATATTAAAAATATTAAACTCAAAGCCACAAAAAAATTAATTTATTACAACTTTCACATTGTATTTTATAAATGCCTGATTTCCCCCCTTCATCTACCTTATCCTTAGGTNAATGCCTGATTTCCCCCCTTCATCTACCTTATCTTTAGGGTTACCTAATAAATCTCTTAAATTATTACTCTTAGATGTTACCAAAGTAATACCAAAATTCTTAAATATTTTAGTTAATCCATTTGAGATGCCCGGATAAAATAAAATTGGTGATCTAATTACTTTTTGTTCCCCCTCGCTGGAGAGTGTACTAGCTGCCCTCCTTTCTTTTTTCCACTTTTGTTTTCGGACTAATTTCAAAATTATGTTTTCGTTATACCCATTAAATTTAGCTATTTCTTTTATAACCACCAATTCTTTATCATAATCTATTTTATTCATCGGAATATTAATTAATCTGTAAACCATACTATTAAAAGCTGACAATTTGTGTTGCAAGGTGTGGTTCGATGTGTTCGGAATGTATCTGAACGTGTGTGTGTTTTTCCGATAAATTTCAAAATTTTAGTTCCCCATCTGTTCTTTTAACTAATAAATCCAAAAAAGGCAATTTTCCCTCTACTTCTTGTTCATATGTAAATTTAATCGATGGGTAAAAAGAATTTAAATTATTTTATTATATAAATATAGAAATAGTTTTCATTTGTTGAAATACCGATATCATTTAAATTTGTACGATTTAAATTCAAAAGAGTTATTAATAACCAGGTTCATCTAAATTATGTTAATCGTGGGTATTCCACACTGCGGGTCCTCGTACAGTATGTACAGTTCATAGTTGTGTGTGTGTGGTAATATTTTCGTTGATGCATATATTTATACGTATTTTTGTGTCTTATTTTTAATTTTATTATCTAAATTACGATGACAAGCGGACGATTGACGAAATGACAACTATCAGCTGAGTAACCTGTTTATCAATCGACCAGTCGATACTTCCAAAGCATCAATTTGTTAATCGTCGACTTGTTGACAAACATTACCATACACCTAAAATTCCAACATGAGTACTCGAAAAATTGATTCTTACTATGGTCCTCAAACAAGTATTTCAAATGAGTCAACTAATGATAATGGATTACAAAAAAAACAAAAAACTACAAATACAGTGGCTGATATTATAAATTGAGTGCAACCGTGGGATGTTCAAAGTGATTTAGATGTTAACACAAGTAGGCATTTAACAGCACATACTTCTTATTATAAACGTACTACTTACTATAAATATAGATACGTCATTTTTCTTTTATCTTAAAATTTATATAATAGCTTAATGGAAAACTACTGAAAAGCTAAATAAAAATTATAACTTTTCTCTAGGTATAATAGATTTTAATAAAATCCATTAACTGTAAATCCAAAAATAATAAAGGTACACATTTTTAATAAATTTATACTTTCATGAATTTTTTGAAAAGATTAAAAAAAATTTAAAAATTTTTGTTCAGAATATATAATTTTAAAAATAAAATATAAAGTTTATTATGTTTTGTGGCAATTTTTGTGCAATTTAATTTAAAATTTTTGATTAAAAGTCTAAAAAAAATTTAATTATTTTTATTATCTAATAACAGAAAAATCACAAAAATTAGGTATTATAGTCATGATTATTCTTTTTTTCGGTATTGAAATTGAAATTGTCTTTAAAATGAATATTTTTACATAAAATAATGATGTTTTCAATCAAAAATTTGTACAATTTTCAATTTTTGATTCAATTCACATTTGTTTTGCCAAAATAACATCCACATATTTTTTAAGTTTTTTAAAGTATAGGAAACAAACTCAACAAATATTTTTTATATTAATTTAATGTTTGAATTTTGAAATTGAATATTTCAAATGACTTGTTTTTATATAAAATGTCATATTTATTTTTGTTTTTATGTTCCTACATTTTGTTATTTTTATTTGTTACTTATTAGGTTTTACATTTTTAAACAAGCTTTTTTATGTTTAGGCTTACCAATATTTGACATTTGTTCCTTGTATTTAAGTAGTATTTAAACACTTCTATTTGGTATCAAATACCCTATAGATATATCTTAAATTATTTTATTTTATATCCTTCTTGTGTGTTGTAATTTTATTCAATATCTAAATGTTAAATCTTCTAGATAATAATTTGATGAAAAATATATATATTATTAAAATTTATTTCAAATAATTATAAATATATTTCAATAAAAATTAATACTAAAAATAAAAATAATTTTTTAATACTTTTTAAAATAATATTTTATCAAGTTCATTAAATAACGTTTAAAAGTATTCTTTATAGGTGTGCATAAATAACTAATATCCTTTAAAATAATGAAAAAAAAAAATAAAAAAAGAATATTTATCAATTGACTTAAGTAGGTACCTATATTAAAATATATTGTTAAAAAAAATATGTGTATACCAGGTTACTAGCACAGTTGTGTAGGTAAACTTGATAAAATTAATTCATCGGCGTAAAAGTTAAATTTAAGTAGTGATTTAAATTCTTCAATACTTGGCAAAATTTTTGAATTTCAATATGCTTTTAGGCACTTCTGGTGCATCGTCATCAGATTCCGATATTGCGGACTGTGATCTAGTAAAAATTGCCCATCGGAAAGAAAATCTCGTAGCCGCTAAAAGTTTATTACCTCAAAGTGTGGGCCATGTGACATCACACAAGTTGTTTCTGATAATCCTACTCAGCCGGTATTGAAAAATTATCCACGAACAACATTTGGGAAAGAATGGAGAAATTTTCATTCCGAGTGGTTTAAATTGTACCCATGGTTAGAATACAGTGTTTTGGAAAATTCGTGTTATTGCTTTCCTTGTCGATTTTTTTCAACTGATCCCTCTGGATCACCGTTTTCTGATTCAGGATTTAAAAATTGGAAAAAAATAGTGGTACAAAGCAGCATGACAAATCAATTTTACATAAATTATGTATGACTAAATGGGAAGGATACAAAATGACTGAAAAAACTGGAAAATCTGTTTTAACTCTTATTAATAGAGAAAATGAAACAGTTATAAAAGAAAATCGTTATTATATTGCAACTGTTGCGGAAATTTTACTTTTTACAGCCTGTCAAAACATTGCTCAACGTGGAGATAATGAAAGTAGCGATAGCATGAATAAAGGTAACTTCTTAGAACTTTTATGTTTTTGTGCTAAAAGAGATACTAGGTTAAAAAAAAATCGATGAGTTACCTAAAAATGCAAAATATACACATCACAGTATACAAAATGAATTATTTAGTATTAAGAGTCAAATGGTCATAGAATCAATTGCAAATGAGTTGCAAAAATCTAAGTACTTTTCAATTTTGGCTGATGAAACTAAAGATTTAAGTAAAACTGAACAATTATCAGTAATGATACGTTATTTTTACAATAATACGGTAAATGAACGGTTTTTGGGGTATGTGCCATGTTCTGAACTACATGCCAAGGCGCTGTTTGAATTTATTAAAATAACTTTATCTGCTTGTGGGATTAATATTCAAAATTGTATAGCTCAAACTTACGATGGCGCTTCCGTAATGAGTGGTACTCAAAATGGTGTGCAAGCAATTTTTCAAAAGGAAGTTCCAAAAGCATTATACACACATTGTTATAATCATCGCTTAAATTTAGTGATTGTGGATGTTTGTAAAAACGTACCAAAAATTGAAAAAATTATATCACTTCTTCAACAGTTGTATAACTTCATAAACAGATCTACAGTACATATGGCTTTCTTAGGTATTCAGAAAGAATTATTTCCTAAAAAAAATACAGTTGAACTTAAAAAGTTATGTGACACGAGGTGGATTTGCCAGATATCTGCATGTATTGCTGTTAGAGAAACATTTTCTGTTATTCTAGTACTTCTAAATAAAATTAGCATTGAATCAAAATGCGAAAAAAGTATGGAAGCAAAATCAATTTTGATTCATATTAATTTTGAATTTATATTTTGTTTACACCTCTTTTGTGATACATTTAGTCAAATAAAAATTGTTTCTGATTATCTACAACTACCCGAATCAGATTTAGGTACAAGTTATATAATGGTCGAATCATTGATAGATTATCTTAAACAATTTCGAACAGTTGATAAATTATTTGATTTGCTTTTGGAAAAAGTTTTTCCAAAAACCTAGATTTGGAATTCATTGTGGACAAATTTTCTGCTGCTCATCACAACCGCAGAATAATGCTTGTTTAAATAAATCTTACATTTTTCATTGATTGTATTTTCATTTTAAACATTATTAGTGTGTTAAAATTTTATATTACTAGGCTCCGCCTAGCTGGGGCTCTGCCCTAGACCCGGGGCCCTTCGAGCCTTATGCGCCTTCGGCGCGTAAGCCTCTTCAGGCCGTCATCATAAGTAGGCCACTGATTCCGGTAGAAGTACCCGGCTACGCCGGGCACGATAAGTGTTTTTCAGAAAAAATATTACTTCAGAATCAGTGAAAACTATAGAAAACTATATCTAAAAATGTTATTATTAAAATCAGGAAAATTCAAAAAGAGAATGTAGTAAAATGTATTGGGTATAAGGTTGAAGCCTCTTAATGAGGTCAATTATTAATTTCAGCAAACAAAACAACTTTTTCCAAAAGCAAATCAAATAATTTATCAACTGTTCGAAATTGTTTAAGATAATCTATCAATGATTCGACCATTATATAACTTGTACCTAAATCTGTTGCACTAAATTTATAATATCAGCCACTGTATTTGTAGTTTTTTGTTTTTTTTGTAATCCATTATCATTAGTTGACTCATTTGAAATACTTGTTTGAGGACCATAGTAAGAATCAATTTTTCGAGTACTCATGTTGGAATTTTAGGTGTATGGTAATGTTTGTCAACAAGTCGACGATTAACAAATTGATGCTTTGGAAGTATCGACTGGTCGATTGATAAACAGGTTACTCAGCTGATAGTTGTCATTTCGTCAATCGTCCGCTTGTCATCGTAATTTAGATAATAAAATTAAAAATAAGACACAAAAATACGTATAAATATATGCATCAACGAAAATATTACCACACACACACAACTATGAACTGTACATACTGTACGAGGACCCGCAGTGTGGAATACGGTAAGTAAGTCTATACTTAAACTAACAATACAATCGAAATATAATATAACTTTCGATGGATAATCAAACTATCGATAATGTCGGAGTTTTTACTGTCTCATTTTTTAAATTTAATGTCGGAGTAAAATACGTCGTAATTTTGGTAACCTATGGATCAGATGGTCGGAGTACCAGATGTTCGTAACAATTACTACTTTGTCAAATGTCGAAGTATGTAAATGTCGGAGCATTATCAGTAAGTCTTTTACCTCCAAACAAAAGAAAACGTTTTTAATATGCCTGGGGTATTAAAATACCCCGTGGTGACTAACGAAGGGTTAAAGACTCATGGTTATATTAATCAATGACTTAGACATGTAACTAGTGGTGTAGTCCTAAAAATGTTTATAGGTATACGCCTATATTATGAATAGATGTTATTGATTATTGATAAGACAGCATAAAATATAAAATTATTACAGAGGATAAATATAAAAATAATTTTGACATTTTATATAACGTTAATATTGTTGATTATACTTAACATTATGATTGACACTTTGTATTTAATAATAACACCAGAGTAATGACTTTTATAATAATAGATTTTTTCATGGTGAAGAGTGATTATTAAATGACAAATTATTTATTTATCTCTGAAACGTGTGTAATATTGTGTAATATAATATAATTAAACAGTATGCGTGTGTTAAATATTTCTATAATTTATTTAAATTTTTTTGTTGAAAAGAATAATGTTATTTTAACCAAATAAATATGATAATATAATTAATAGTCTAATTAAAAGTGTTGATTATTTTAAACAAAAAGATTAAATAAATGATAGTGTTATTAATCTTAAAAAAATATAAAAATTTCATAATAAAAAAAATTGTGTTTTATAAAATAAAAAAATATGTTTATGTTTAAAAGTTGCATCCGGTGGCTAAATGCCCTCTCGCAGTTATGTGTAGCATCCTACAACAAAATAAAACTATATTAGTCAAAACACTTTAATATAATTGTATAATAAATTATAATTTTTATGATTTTAAATATTCCAACAAGTATTGTATTCTTTGAAAAAAATGGTATAATAATAGATACATTTGGATGTTTCTTATTATGGTAATTTTTAAAATACTTTGCTCCTGATTTTTTATTTTGTCTTTGAAATAAATAAAAATTATTCCAAAAATGTTGAGGCCCTATCTTGATTTTTACTGTGCTGGTAAAAGATTAAAGTATTCGCATTTTAATAAAATGGGATTTTTTTTTCAAAATAGTCATGAAAGCTGACAAAAAAATCTCAAAAATATGAAACATATGTCAATTGATCGAAAATTTTGTTATTTTCAATTAACCACATACAGGCCCGTATTTAAGGGAGGGCTCGGAGGGGCAATTGCCCCTGGCGGCAATATTAAAATTAGGTTTAGGGGCGGCAAAATATTGAAATGGTCAAAAATGTAAAATTTATTTGTAGCTCATTTTACCTAATGAGTATAATCATTGATTATAGATAGAGATTATAGATATTATATACTATCTATAATCAATGGTATAATACAAAAATATAATATATAATTAGTATAATAAAAAAATAACTATAATAATATATTTATACCAAAATAGATTTTGAATGTAGAATGTACCTAATAAAGTTCTGATAAAGTTTGTATTCGTTATCAACACGAATGTCAATAAAATGCTTTGGGCATATTGATGTTGTAAACATATGATTCGTATTTAGTTCTACGAATCGTAGACTATGAAAAATACATACTAAAAATAGAAAATATACAATTGGGGTATTCCCATGATATAAGGAGCTACGAAACTACGACTGCCGATTATTGACAATTTACACTACTATTAAGTATTATTATTTATTATAATATTATCGATAACAAAAATCAAAATACAATTATTAGTGCATTATTCATGAACGAGTACTGACGTGGTGTCGTGGTCTGTTAATCAATCTATTTTAACTATTAATTAATATTATACATTTATACTACGCGTGTATATTCAAAACAGTAAGTATTATAATTTATCATTGATTTTAAAATATTATAAAACCAATAGTATTATATGGTATTTAATATTTATATTGTAGTAAAGACTATTATGATTAATTATTTACAAAATGTTAATTGTGCTTTAATTCTAATAGTTAGAAAAAAAACAATTATTGTTCTTAAGAGTTGCGGAATATTAGTTACGATATAATTTTTCTCATATAAGTCACGAATTTACATTTTGAATAGGTCGGTACATTTTATATTTGTAATAATGTTTTATACCTATTTTACTTAGTTATGGCTCCAAGAAGAAATAGGCTTAGTGGGGCTGAATACAAGAAAATAGCTAAGCTCAAAGAATTTAATTTGAATAAAGTTGTTCAAAAAACTATTAAAATCGACACGATGTTCAAAAGTAAGTATTTTATTTATGTTCACTGTAAAGTAAACTAATAATAATATGAAATTTATATAAACACATAATAAGTTTAATTTTTTTTTTTTAAGAAATCAAATATTATTACACCAAACCAATCTTAATTATTATATTATTGCGGAAATTTAAATAATTAAATATAACAATTGCTTAAAAGTTAAATATTATACTCCAAATTATATGAATTTTCTTATTAGGTAGTTTTTAGTTATTTCATTATTATATAAATCAGGTATTCAGATATATCGAATAAAAAAATGTGTTGTATTTAAACTATGGTTAAACACAACTAGTATTTTTATAATTTTTGATTATATCATTATATATTTCTACTCAGAGTCAGGTATGGTTAATAAATCTACTGAACAACGTCAAGCTGGCCTTACAACTCTTTGTAATAATTTGGATACAGAACCTCCATGCGTGTCAGAGCATATAAATATTTTATTAGAACCAAATTCTACTGATATACCTGGGTAAAGTTAAAACACTGTAATTAAAATTATATTTTTTAAATAAATTCTTACTTTACTTAGTTTTTGACGATTATCTTCATTAGACATTTTTAATTATTTTATTAGAATTAATTTTATACAAAATACAAAATAATAATAATAGGTAAAATAAGTAAAAATTTATTAGGTTAAATATTCTAATATATTAAATGCATTTATATGTTATTCTTATTGTAACTATTTCTAAATTAATAAGTAATTTTCATTTTTATTTTTATTTAAGATTGGATCCAGCATTGTGGAGTATAAATGAACAAACGAGGCAATATATCTGTAAAAATGGATTTAGCCAAAATCTAGATGTTAAATTTACAGCTTCAAAAAGATTGTACAGAGTTGTAAAGAAACGGCATTTCCGTAACTATTTTAGATATCTGAATATAGATTTTTTCAAAACTGTTTTAATCAATGGTGAAACATGTCAAAGAAATTATTTATCTTATTCTGAGAGTACTGGGTCAATTTATTGTGTTCCATGTCTCTTATTTGAGAATAAAACTAATTTTTCAAAAAAAGGATTTTCAGATTGGAAACACCCTAAAAAAATTTCTTACCATGAAAATTCACCTGAACACAAACTATGTTCTTATAAAATGAAAGAACTTGCATCAGATTTAAGTAAAATAAATTCAAAACTAATACATCAAATAGAAACCGAAAAAAAATATTGGATTAGTGTACTGACCAGGGTTTGTTCGGTTATTAAAAGTTTGGCAAGTCATGGATTATCATTTAGAGGTGATGTAGAAAAATTTGGATCATCTACTTCAAATACTGGAAATTTTATTATGATGATGGAATTACTTGCAGAGTACGACCCACTTCTATCAGAACACATATCTAAGTATGGTAACCCTGGCAAAGGTAATACTTCCTACTTATCATTTTCTACTTATGAACAGTTCGTTAAAATCATGTCTGAAAAAGTCATTAATACCATAGTTGATGAAATTAAATTATCGAAATATTTTTCTATCAGCATAGATTCCACTCCAGATATATCACACTCTGATCAACTGTCTTTCGTTATCAGGTATGTGCTATCAAACGGTGAGCCAATTGAAAGATTTATTGGTTTTTTAGAAAATGTTGGACATAAATCAGAAAATCTAGCAGAATCAGTTTTATCAGTTTTAAAAAAATATAATTTAGATGTTTGTTATTTGAGAGGTCAATCTTATGACAATGCTAAAAATATGTCTGGTATTTATTCAGGAGTTCAAGCAAGAATAAAGCAAGTTTCACCATTAGCTGATTTTGTACCATGTTCGGCACATTCTTTAAACTTAGTCGGATCGTGTGCTGCAAATTGCTGTAAAGAAGCAAATGATTTTTTTCTTTTTATTCAAAATATAGTCAATATTCTATCTCAACTGTAAAAAGTTTTCAAACTACACGATGGTCAGCAAGAGAAGACGCTTGCCATAGCTTAAAAAAAAACTGGAATTCTATAAAACAAGTATTAGAAGAACTAATAAATGATGATTATGAAAAACCATTTGTACGGTCTGAAGCCAGAGGTTTAATTAGACAAATGAATAAATTAGAAACAGCATACATGACTGTATTTTGGAGTGATATTTTACATACATTTAACAAAACTAGTCTTCTATTACAATCTGTTGATATTGATATAAGCACTGTAGTTAGTTTGTATAATTCGTTAATTCAATACGTTCAAACTTTACGATCAATGTTTAATGATTATGAAAAGTTGGCAAAAGCTATGTTTGACAATGATGACTTAATTCCTGACTATGAACACAAAAATAGAAAACGTAAGAAACGTAATGATGAATCTACTGAACCAGATGCTATTTTCAACGGACGCGAAAATTTTAAAATTAATACCATTTACATTATTTGTGATAATTTAATAGAAGAACTAAAAAAAAGAAAAATTTCTTATGATGATATAATATCTAAATACTTATTTTTCTTAAATATTAGTGAACAAAAAACCTCAGAAGTTCGTGATGGTGCAAAAAAATTAAGAAAAATATACAAAAATGATTTGGATGAAACATTTGAAAACGAGTGTGTTCATTTTCAGAGCTTACTTAAAACTATTAAAAACCCTCCAACAAATATCATTAATATGTGTAAATTTATTAAAGAAAAAAATATAGAAGCTATTTTTCCTTATGTTTATGTTGCTCTCAGAATGTTTCTATGTACTCCTGCTTCTAATTGTTCAACGGAAAGATCATTTTCCACTTTACGGAGAATTAAATCATATTTAAGATCAACCATGTCATCAGAAAGATTGAACAGTTTAGCCATATTAAACATTGAGTCATCCATAACCAAAATGATTGACTACGATGATATTATTAAATCATTTGCATCAAAATAATCTCGCAAAAAAGTTTAAGAAAAGTTATGAAATTACAATTGAATATTTTTATTTTTGAAGTTTTTTTATTATTTTTAAGAATGTTTTAAATAATATATTGGTTATTAGTTATTACTGAGTTTTATTTTATATTAATGTACCTATTTTCTATTACAATTGTGTAATACCAATAAAGTAATTTTTTAAAAAAATTTCTTTTTTTTTGGGGGGGGGGGCAAATTTTATGTTGCCCCTGGCGGCAATTCTTATAAATACGGGCCTGACCACATATATTATATGTTTATATTAAAGAAGTTATTCATTTATTTATTTAATACAATATAATATCATGTGTTAGCATCGATGCGAAGAAGAGAAGGTATATATTATACTATGATATGTTTTTTTGTAAAGAGTTAAAATAAAAGTTTCGAGAATATTTGAGAAACTTCTAGAATAATTTTTCCACATAAATAATTATCAATTTTAAATACTTTTCTGACCGACTGTTATATTATTACTTTTTACAAATATATCGCTCATTCGGAGTGATGTTTACATTAATGTCAATTTTTTTAATTACCACAAGCGTATTTGTGACGCCAAACAGAAGGCAGAATAAAATATTTAAATTCTTAAGAAAAACTAGCCGCCCTTCATCATCTTAACAACTAGTTTAATATAAAAGGCTAGGAAAATTAGCACACCAGTACATGCTAGTTCACTCTCACTCTTTATTCCCCCACACTCTTACTATTTCATTATAAAGTTAATAATGTAAAATTCATGTCACTTTTGTCAACCTTAATTATTAGTCTTACACATTTGTTAAAATAATTAATTCAAATCATCGAAATAAACTCAGTATATTGCCCCTCATACTAGTATTTTTATTTATTTAAATGAACTTAAAATGTCGACGTCAACAAGGAATGTTACAATTCATCATCTATCCACGAGTCCGGATGAATATCAAGGTAAGTGTAATTGTAAGACATGCACTATATTTATGTAATATTAAGAAATAGGATAGAGTGGATGAGAGGTAGGATTAAGATGATATGAATGAATCCAATACAAACCATATAACCGAAACAACTTCCACTTTCCTCCCATCCTACTCTCACTTTTCTTTTTATTACAATTTATTTGTGTCTCTCAAGTTTTTAAACTACTTTTGATTCGTCGAAAGATCACAAATCGTATCTAGTTGAAGATATTATCCTTTATAATTGAAAAAATCCCCTAGTTTCCTGCAAATGGGTAAATTTGCTCAAAAATAAAAATTTTTTAACTAAATTGTCAGAACGATATATTCCAAAATTGATTACTAATAACCAGGGTTCGGGACTTATAGCAATTAAAATCATCAAAAAAAGCACTCAAATAAGCAATTATAAATAAAAAAAATTAATCAAAAACCCCCAAAAATGGATTATTTGAAAAATTAAATATAAATTTGTGTTGATATCCCAGTATGCCATAGCGGTCTAAAAATATTGTTTACCGAGAAATCCATTAAAATAAATATAGTTAAAAAAAACTAAAAAACACGCTTTTAAAGCACATCGAACTAAAAAGTTAAAAATAATTTTTAAAATTAACTTAAAACAATAATGAACGAAAAATACTAGTATTATTGTGAAAAAAAGCGTCAGGCGCTCAATATACAAAAAATATGGCATAAAGCACCCACGCGAGAGTAGGATGGGAGGAAAGTGACCTACCTAACATATATAGTTCTTATATAAAATAATCATAGACCTTTAATTTTATACTAATTTAATATTTCTATTTATTAAACTTATGTTATATT